TCTTGCTCTTTCTCTTCTCCTTCTGGCATCTCTATGATGCAGATGTTGGAATGCTTGAAGTTGTCTCAGGGGCTGCTTATACCATCCTCACTTTTTCTTTTTTCTTCTTGTTGTTCACATTGGTTGTTTTTTTTTTGATTCCTTATGTTCCAAATAATCAATTTGATTCTCAGCTTCATCTACTCTACTGTTGTTTCCCTGTAAATTGTTCATTTCAATTACTGTATACTTCATTTCTGACTGGATCTTTTTTTTAAAATTGCAAGAATTTTGTTAATTTTATTGAGACATTTTTGACATACAATGAAATGCACATAGCTAACATATAAAATTAATGTTTTTATGTATGTATATACCTATGAACCAATCCACAATCAATATAATGAAAATATCCATTACTTTCAGAAGTTTCCTCATGCTCCTTGGTAATAACTCTTTTCTGATAACCCTTTTCTGCTCCATCCCTGAGCCTGCAAGTAACCTCTGCTTCATTCCTATCACTGTATTAGTTAATGTCTTCTAAAATTTCAATAAATGGAAAATAGTATGTATTTTCTTTTTTTAAAAAAATATTTTATTGATTATGCTAGTACAGTTGTCCCATTCCCCGGTCCCTTTTATTCCCCTCTGCCCCACACACCCCCTCCTACCTGCATTCCCCTCCTTTAATTCATGTCCATGGGTTATACATATAAGTTCTCTGGCTTCTACATTTCCTATACTATTCTTAACCTACCCCTGTCTACTTTCTACCTACCACTTATACTACTTATGCTCTGTAGCTATTTCCCCTCTCTCCCCCTCCCACTCCCTTGCTGATAACCCTCCATGTGATCTGTATTTCTGTAATTCTGTTCTTGTTCTAGTTGTTTGCTTACTTTGTTTTTAAGTGTGGTTGTTAATAACTGTGAGTTTGTTGTCATTTTACTGTTCATATTTTTATCTTCTTTTTCTTAGATAAATCCCTTTAACATTTCATATATAAATCCCTTTAACATTTCATATAATAAGTCAACTCCTTTAACTTGACCTTATCTGAGAAGCACTTTATGTGCCCTTCCATTCTAAATGACAGCTTTACTGGATAGAGTCATCTTGGATGTAGGTCCTTGTCTTTAATGATTTACTTCTTTCCAGCCCCTTCTTGCCTGCGAGGTCTCTTTTGAGAAATCAGCTGACACTCTGATGGGAACTCTTTTGTAGGTAACTGTTTTCTTTTCTCTTGCTGCTTTTAAGATTCTCTCCTTCTCTTTAATCTTGGCTAATGCAATTATGATGTGTCTTGGTGTGTTCTTCCTTGAGTCCAACTTCTTTGGGACTCTCTGAACTTCCTGGAAGTCTCTTTTCTTTGCCAGATTGGGGAAGTTCATTATTTGTTTAAATAAGTTTTCAACTTCTTGCTCTTCCTTTTCTCCTTTTGGCACCTCTATGATTCGGATGTTGGAATGTTTAAAGATGTCCTGGGGGTTCCTAAGCCTCTCCTCATTGTTTTGAATTGTTTCTTCATTCTGTTCTGGTTGAATATCTCTTTCTTCCTTCTGCTCCAAATGGTTGATTTGAGTTCCAGTTTCCTTCTCATCACTGTTGGTTCCCTGTACATTTTCCTTTATTTCACTTAGCATAGCCTTCATTTTTCCCTCTAATTTGTGACCATATTCAAACAATTCTGTGAGCATCCTGATCACCAGTGTTTTGAACTGTGCATCTGATACGTTGGCTATCTCTTTGTATTTTTTCTGCAGCTTTGATCTGTTCTTTCATTTGGTCCATTCTTTTTTTTTCGGTCTTGGCATGCCTGTTATACAGTAAGGGATGGAGCCTTAGGTGTGCACCAGGACAGGGCAACCCATGTTGCTGAGTTGCAATGCTGTATGCAGAGGAGGGGTCTGAGAGGGAACAATGCTGCTTGCTCCACTCTCTTGCCAGTTTTCAGTCACTTCCCCCACTACCCACAATCAAATTGGGCCCTTCTGGTGCTGATTCCTGGGTGGGTGGGTCTCTCCAACAATCTCCCCTGTGAGCCTGGAAGTTTCTCCCGCTGCCACCTCAACTCCCCCAGGTGTTTTCAGTCAGTGGTTTTGAGGCTTTATTTCCCTGTACTGGAACCCTAGATTGTGTGACCTGTCTCGCTCCCCAGTTGTTTCTCCTGGTTTATCTGCCCATGAATTTGGGACCGACTAGTCTGCCAGCCACTGCCTCGCAGGCCCTAGTACTCCAGCTGCTGCCTTGCCATGAGTCCTCTTCACCCAGCTGCCCGTCTCCACTCCTCCTACTGGTCTGGATGAATGTTTCTTCTTTAACTCCTTGGTTGTCAGACTTCCATTGCGTTTGATTTTCTGTCAGTTCTGGTTGTTTTTTTGTTTTTAAATTTGTCGTCCTTCTTTTGGTTGTGTGAGGAGGCACAGTGTGTCTACCTACTCCTCCATCTTGGCCATAAGTCCTGACTGGATCTTTTTTATGTTGCTGAGGTCCTCACTAAGTTCCTTGAGCATCTCTGTGACCAGTGTTTTGAACTCTGCATCTGATGGATTGCTTATCTCCCATCTGTTTAGTTCTTTTTCTGCAGTTTCTTTGTCTGCTCATTTTGGCAGCCTCCCTGTTTGTTCCTATGTTTTAGGTAGATTTGCTTTGACTCTGTGTCTTGGTAGTGTGGCCTAATATAGCAGGTGTCCCATAGGGTCCAGTGGCACAGCATCCCCTATCACCCAAGCTGGGTACTCGAGGTGTGCCTTTTGTGTAGGCCGAGTACACCTCCTCTTGCAGTTCAGCCTTGATTGCTGTTGGAAGGCCAATGTGAGGGATTTACCAAAGCCAGACAGCTGCAAGGATTGGCCATGACCACTTACCACCGACCTCCATGAAGGATCAGCTGTCTAGGGGTAGGGTAGTAATGGTCTGATGTGGTCTATAGCTGGCCACTGAGTGCACTGGCTCTCGGGTTTCCTGGGTGGTACAGGTTAAGGTCAGCCCCTACCTGTGTTTTATCCAGGGCCACCCTGCTTGAGCAGTAAAGGAATCTGAGATGGCTGTTACTTATGCTGGGCTTGGAGATTCCCAGGTGAAGCCCACCTGTAAATCTAGGTTGGCTACTTCTAGTGCTGAGCCGGGGGCTCCCTGAGACCAACTGTTGCTTGGTTGATAGGGTTTACGAAGTTGTGAAGCATGAGCCAAGACCAGTCATTCACATGGAAAAGCAGCTTGGTTGGGCTCAATAAATTGGGAGGGGCGTAGTCTCTGGGATCTTCAAGGTGGGGTCAAATGGTGTTAGCAGGTTGATGGAGTCTCAGATATGGCACCAGCTTGCCAGCTCTATGGGGAGAGGTTTCAGAAAAGAAATGGCCTCTGCTTGCCTTGATGCCAGACACTTCCATTCTTCTTAGCTGCTACCCTAGTGCTGGAGCTCAGAGGGAGTAAGTCTGAGTAGGTGAGTTGGTATGTGGGTGCTTTAAGACAAATTGCTTGGGGCTCCAGAAGTTTCTTTCACTGATTCAATCCCCACTGGTTTTTGCAGCCAGAGTTCTGGGGACCTATCTTCTTGGCACTGGAACCCTGGGCTAGGGGCCCTGGCATGGGGTTGGGACTCCTTGGTCCCAAGATATCACTCCCAAATTTTAATCTACCACATATGGGTAAGGGGTTCCACATCTGCACCCCTTCTACCAGTGTGGATGGATATGGTTTCTTTAATTTTATAGTTGTCAGACTTCCTTTCAACTTGATTTGTGATGGTTCTGAGTGATAGTTGTTCTGTATTTCAGTTGCAATTATGTGGTTGTGCAAAGAGGTAAGCCATATCTGCCTACACTGGCATCTTGACCAGAAGTCCCTATACTTCAAATCCTTAAAAATGTTTTCTCAATGACACAAGGTCTTCAAGCAGATTTGTATATTTTGCACCATGGGTTATCTCCATGGGCCTGGATCTCATGAAAAGGTTCATAAAGCTTGAGGTAAAAAAAATCTGACATTATTCAAAGTTTAACAAAAGAAAATAGCAAAAACTCCAGGCACTAAGGTGGCAAGCTTTATTTACAGAAAACCATAAAAAATTATTAATTTTTAAACTCTTGCCTATCAAAACTCTTAACTGGAGAGAAAAATATGTGTTGGTTAATATTATAAATCAAAATGTAGGTGTTTAAATTGTATTGTAGGCATGGATTCAGGAGGAAATGACAAACCTTTAAAGATCTTTAAGAATTAGAATTTATTTAGGTGAAATTTAATGACAAATCCAGATCTCTGTACCTTGGCTAGAGAAGAAAAGCATTATTTTGGCACACTCTTCCTCATACACAGGTATAACATCTTTAGTCTGATTCCCTGGTATGTCACCAACATGGCTGAATGTGTATCTGCACTTTTGTGAGGCCCAGAAATACCAGAGATAACAACTGAGACAATGAGAAGGAAACACATCCCTGGAGATTAAGTGGACAGAAGAGTTTTATTAATGAACTCCAGGAAGGACTGATGACAGAGACATGAAGGGACTAAATGAATTAGAATAGAAAGGAGTTTGCATTGGACAAAAGCCAAGAAAAAAAGCCAAAAGCCAGCAATTAAGAAGGAACGTACAGAGAGAAACACACCTTCCCTCCTCCATATCAAAAAAAGAGCAAAATAGTATATTCTCATGTTTTGAAGTGCAAATGAATTATAGTTACTACCATGGGGAAAACTGCAGCATCCAGCAAATGACAAAAATTGAGAAATTCCTCTGTGTTAAATTGTTATCCTATGTGTTTATTCTAAGATGATTCTATACCTAGAGAACTACTGTCTCAAATCAACTAAAATAGTAATAAAAGAACATCTGCATTTGAAAATTAAAAGAACTCCCTAGTTATATAAAAGCAACATTTTCTACTTTTTTGGTTCCTTGTTTTAAGGAATATTTGTTAAAACCTCTGGGACTACAGATATGTTAGGCAAGCTGCATAGTACTCTGGAAAAAAGAAAGCTGATGTATTTTCTAATGTTGTTTTTTGACAACTTACTTCAAAGAGATGTTGTAAAGGATTGGACTGGAGTTTTTCTTCATAGCCAAACAGTTGAAAGCCAGTTCCCAGTAGACCTACCACAATAATCCATAAATGAAAACATAAAATGGAACAGTAGAGAACAATCATGGCAGGGAACAGGTATAGTTGTATAAAAAGATCAATCTTCCATAATTATGTATCTTGAGAACATTGCAAATACATACTATCCCCTTCTGCTACTCCATAAATTGACATAAGTCAAATTTAATATATTGAATCACAAATTCAATAGGTTGAAATAGATCAATTACTAAAATTAATTGCACAGAAACCAACAGACTATGGACTCATCAAAGGCAGGGGCTAAAACTAATTTATCTTTGTACTAACAATGTTCAACAGTTCCCTAGCAGACAGAACAAAAGAATTATTTCTTGAGCAGTCACTCTGGGGAAAGCATGATGCTGGGCACTGGGTACTGGGTATTGAATGTTTGTGAGGACAAACTGATGGCAAGTGATTTCAAAACTTTCTTTTAAACTTATAAATGTAGTCCTGACTGGTGTGGCTCAGTGGATTGAGCACTGGCCTGGGAACCAAAAAGTCAACGGTTCAATTCCCAGTCAGGGTACATGCATAGGTTGTGGGCCAGGTCGGGCCCCGAGTAAGGGTTGTGTGTAAGGCAACCACACACTGATGTTTCTCTCCCTCTCTTTCTCCCTCCTTTCCCTTTCTCTAAAAATAAATAAATAAAATATTTTAAAAAATAAACTTGTAAATGTTAAAATAAAACAAAGGTAGGAATTATCTTGGTAGTGTAACATTAGTTCTTAAACAAATAATTGAATTACGGCAATAAAAAGTAACACTTGAAACATCCAAATTATTTCTCTCATTCACGGTGGCCAAGCAACAAAATTCTTTTATCTGGCCAACTTTTGTCAATAATTTTTTTAAAGTCTTTGATGATAAGTTCAGCATTCAGAAACAATTTAATTCTAATCTTAAAAAAAATAATTGAAGTTTATAACCCAGCAACGAAAACAACTAGTGTGGACTGTAAATATTTATACATTAGAATCTTGTGCTAAAAGATGATCACAGTTTCAGTTTGAAGGGGTATCTGCAGCCTGGGGCCAACAGCAATAAAAGGTATTACAGTTTAATTATTTAAAAAATCACCTTTTTACAACTATATCAATTACCAAGCTTCAACTCTAAAGGACCTACTGCCACTAGGCCTTGCAGATTGGTATACATTTTCCTGTACAGGCTTAGCAGAAAGTGGGATGCTACTGAACACATGGCTATATGAGTATAATGCTTTGGAGCTGAGACAGGCCTAGAAGGATGACTAAAATATGTACCAGCTCTATTCACTTTCAAGCAAAAGCACATATGATTGTGATTCAGAGTCTTGGGAACAAACAGGGTTTGGAAAGATGCTCAGTGTTCTAAAAAACAGAAATAGGAAAAGTAAATGCCAATTCCGTTTAACATTGCACCTAATATATTTTCAAAAACTAACTGTGCCTATGAATGTCTGCAAACTTCCAACATGGGATAGCTGAAACAACCAAAATGAACTCTTCAACAATGATGGTTATAATGGAAATGTTGACAGATCATTAAGCACTGCAGTTCTTTAGAGAAAAAACAGCTTTAATAAAATCCTGCAGCTAAAATTTTATGACTACCATAATCACATTTTTGCTAATGTCTGTGAAATGCCTTAAGTTGGTCAAACTAATGCAAAGTGGACACCATCTATTAAATCTGACTGTTAAGCCTAGAGCCTAAACGTCTGCCAGATGCTGTGAACTGCAGGTAGAGCTTTAAAATGCAGTGCATGTTTTCTGATTCCTCCACATAAAAGCACCGTGGATATAAGAGTAGATTCAAGTTCTACCCTTTTTAAGGTCTAAAAGGTTTTTTTAACTCAAGGAATAACATTAATAAGAGAAAGTTATGATAAGTCTGTCTTTTGAAAACTTTGATTTCATTTCACTAGATATGGAACATAATATTGTCAGTGAACTTTAGAACTGGCAGTGCACACTGAACTTTATAGAAGCTTTAAAATATTACTTAGCCTTTCTTTTGGATTAGTATTATAAAATACCTCCCAGGACAGAGTCATTCATCATTCTAAGTGACCCTTATGTGCCAAGCATTATGGATACAAAAATAATTAAGACATACTCCATGCCCTAAAAAATCATATTATCTAGCAGGAAGAGAAGCACACAAATAAGACAGTGAGACAGAAGCCTATTTGAATAGAGCTGGGTACCAGGAATGTGGTGATGTGAGATGGTGGGCAAGGATGTGTCTGTGTTAGTACTTTACAGAGGTGACACTGTAAGTGCTGGATCTTAAAAACATACATAGTAGTGGTCAGAGATATTTTAAACTTGCATTTTACATGCTATCAACCCTCCACCACCTTAGCAACTACATTTCTCTTGCCCTTCCATACCCTGATTACTGGTGTATATGAGCTAGGAATGGTTCTGACTAAATTCTTGATATTGGAGATAATTTGTGGCACCCATCAGTCTGGGTCTCACCCCTCTCTTCCTCTTTGTTTTTCTTCCAGATCATGGGCCCAGGATATAAAAACATGTAGGGGGGCCCAGGGAGGCTGGACTTCCCTTGTTTTAAAAATGGTGGGTCACACCTTGGCTGGTGTGGCTCAGTTGGTTGGGCATTGTCCCGCAAAATGAAAGGTTACTGGTTCAATTTCTTATCAGGACACATGACCGAGTTGTAGGTTTGGCCCCTGGCTGGGGCACGTGGGAGGGCAACTAATCGATGTTTCTCTCTCATATCAATGTTTCTCTCCCTTTCTTCCCCTCTCTCTCTCTAAAAAAGTAAATAAATAAAGTCTTTTTAAAAAATGGTGCCTTGCTCTGACCTGTGTGGCTTTGGCATCATCTCACAAATTAAAAGGCCATCAGTCTGATTCCTGGTCAAGGCACATGGGTTGCAGGCCAGGTCCCCAGTCAGGGCACGTGCAAGAGACAATGGATCCATGTTTCTCTCCCTCTCTTTCTCCCTCCATTCCCCTCCCTCTGAGAGTGAATAAAATCTTTAAAAATAGAGGTGGGCCTGTGGTTGAGAAGAGTGTATATAGCTATATGTCTTCCCTGTATATTTACTCGTCCATTTAACTCACAAATATAAGAGATTTTTCTTTAATAAAACCATAAAAATCTGTATTTATTGGGTGTTTATCTAAATGTGTGAAGTTTCCTCCCTCAAAACTTACCTGTGTGGTGAGAATTAGTCTAATAAATAGAATACAAGATTTATGCAAAGAGCCATTAGGAAGAAAAAAAACAGGTAGGAAGCACTACTTTATCTAATGAGATTCTGCCTATATTCTGTCCACATGATCAAGAGACCTGATATTAAAACATATTAAATTTAACAGTGAAATGAAAAATAAAATCTCAAACTTACTTACCAAACTGCATGCCCCAATCTCCAAGGTAATTTATTCTGGTTACTTGATGTCCTAAAGCTTCCTTGAGATTTGCTATGAAATTTCCTAGTAATGAATAAAACATACAGTTTCTCATTCTTGTTATCCATTTTGGCAAAAGAACCATGTGCTTCTCTATTGTCAAAGTATAATACAGAAAATTCTTTTGGTAAAATTTACCAATTCAGTTTTTTAAAAATTAAAACATTCAGTAATGTGTTTTCATCTATGTTATAGAAAGTAAGAAATTATTGTGGGGGCACTTATTACAAGGAATCTCCTAACTTTCACAAGAACAGAGTGTTTATTAACATTAATGGGAGTAGGGAACACATCCAAGTCAATGCCAAAGACAGAAAATAACACTGTCTTGGTAATTAATAAGAGGCAATTTGGTTGTGCCCTAAAGACCCTGAGTGATATTGGCTTTATTTCTAAATAGCTCACTTTGCCGATTTTCAATAAATATTCTGTCTTCCTGGTCCAAATAGTTCCTTTAACAACTATTAAATAACAACTTTGTCATGATCTATCCATCATTCCTTTTTATCACTCCTTTAATTTTGACTTATTCATGTAGCTTTTCTTACACTGTATATTTGTTACACTCTTTTTTTCATCAAGTCTGATCATTTCTTCTCTTAAAATGCAGCTTGAGAACTTAGGAACAATGAAAGCTGACTCCAGTTTAATAATAATGCATGCCACAACTGCTGATTTCTCTAATTCTTAGAAGTATTCAAGTATGGGTTAAATGACTTTCTCTTAAGCATGCATAGACAGATTTTTATATTGAAGCATGCAATAGACAGATTTTTATATTGAAAGACAGATTAGATGAGATAAACTTCAAAGTCAGTTCCAATTCTAACTGCAGTTTTTAAATTGGACTGCTGCATTATATCATGTTTTAAATATCTAAAAATCATAAACCTACCACACTAAACCAGCAATTGTCAACTGGTGTGCTTCAAGAGGCACACTGCTATGCTGCAAGGAATTTTAAAACATGCAGTACCCTACTATGTGTTTAGTTGGGGGCAGTGACCTCTTTCCTTAGATTTTCAAATAAAGAAATGACAACGGCCAACACAACAGCCATGGTGTGAATGAATCAAAATTACCTGCTTTTTTTTTTTGATCAGATTTTGTGCAATTTGGATGTCAGATCTTGTGGGATTTTAGTAATCAGTTTGTGTGCCATGAGATAAAAAAGAAGGCTAAAATCGCTGCACTTAAACATTATAGCTATGAAGTATGATAGTAATCTTTATTAGAATATTCTTGTTTCAATTTCCAGTCTTGAACACTTCAGTTAGCACACCCATCACTAAGACTGAGTTTCTTTTTTTATTTAAATTGAGATATAATTGACATACAACATTCTTTCTTTTTTAAAACAAAATACATAACAAAAAAATTGGGAGAGATTATTACCAGCTCCACATTACCGTATTTTTCAGACTATAAGATGCATGTCCCCTCACCCCCAACCAATTTGGGAGGAATAATGGTAATTAATGCTGCTGTTGAGTTCTGTTTACATTTACATTGGTGAAATATTATGTTGTTTATGTTATTAAATATTTTACCACATTTTTTGCTTCAAAATGTTTTCCCTATTTTCCTCCTCTAAAACCTAGGTGTGTCGTATGGTCTGAAAAATATGGTAATTATTTTCATTTTTACATCTTTTAGATCTTCTCATATACATACATATTTTTTATATTTTTAAAAAGTTAAAATCATAACAAATATACCAGTTAAAACTGGTTTCTGAATTAATCTTTTGGTTTTGAACAAATTTCTCTTTTCCACTTTTAAACCAATTTTCCCCATTTCATGTAATATTTGATTAGCATCAAGCTCATATAAATTTAAACCTTTTTGTTCTATTGTTATTTAAGCATTAAACCATAAGACTGGATTATCAAAGACACATTTAGTATTTTCTGTGAAATGACACTTACCTATGATGGTAGAACGCAAATGTCCAACGTGAAATTTTTTGGCAATGTTAGGTGAACTGCAAATAATTGCAAAAAATTATATTTCTGTTCTAAAAACAAGAGGTCTAAAATGAACTAGGTCATGCCTTCAGAGTTTAACACATCTGAGGACTCAGGCCTTTGGTAATTTGTGGCAAAGATAAGTTAGAACTCAAAGAATCATCCTTAGAGAAACTGATTCTGTGATTCATGAGGCTGTGCCATACACAGAAGTGGCACACTTAAGAAGAAGCAGATACATTTAAGGATTGATTTTAAAAATGAAGACATTCAGAAATATTGTTTTGACACAAACAATGTTGACTATAGGGAATTAAATTTAGTGCACCAGTTCACAAACCCTTTATCTTGTTAAAAATTATTGAGGGTCCCAAGAAATTTTGTTTGTATGGGTAGTATCTAGCAATATTTATTATATCAGAAATTAAAAGAGAAAAATATAAAAAATATTTATGAAGTAATCTTTCCAGAACAATCAAAAGTCTGATTCACCACTCCAAATTCTCAATCAACACTTTTATCACTCCTCTGTGTGCCTAAGAAGTCTTAATCAATAATTTAACAATACAAACTCTTCTAAGGCACTCACTACTAACAGGCAGTTTTATGCACTTAACATGCATTAATTCACTTCATACCCATAAGAAGTGTGAGTGAGGTACTGTTATCTCTTATTTTACAGATGAAGGAACTGGGACAACAAGGAAAAGAGGTAATAAAGCCAATGTAGCAATATCTTGATCACCTGAATCTGGGTGATGAGTATACAGGATTTAATTTTACTTCTCTTTTGTATATGTTTAAAATTTTTATAAGTTTTTCAATATTAAAAAGATGAATTAACCAGAAAGCCAGAAAAATGTATAAATCACTAGTTTTATAAAGCTGGGTAGTTAAGGTCTGTGATTTTAAGAGAATGAGAACAAACAAGGTGATCCCTAGGACTGCCTTAACAGCAAATTTGTGAGCTAAAGAAGAAAAATTTATAGCACAAAATGTTTATATTGGAAAAGAAAAAAAAAGCTTCAAACCAATAACCTAAGGTTTTCCTTTAAAAAACTAGAAAAGGATGACATATGTAAGCAGAATAAAAGAGAATAATACAGAGAAAAGCACAAATCAATAAAGTAGAAAACAAAGACAGAAAATTTCTATTACTATACATAATTGTAGTGGTGGTTACGCAGCCTGTACACTTTTGCCAAAACTCATCAAAGTATATGCTGAAATATGGTGAACTGTACTGTGTTGTATGTAATTACAGCTCAATAAAGCTGATTTAAAAAGAGATCAACAAATAATACTACAAAACAACAAAATTACAAACCAGCCTTGGAAGTCCTGCTGTTGAAAGAACATAAGTTACACTGTTTAGTGAAAAAAGCAAGGAGTTGAACAACATATAATGTGTGACATCTGTTTATGAAGGCAAAGAATATCTCTAGGTGACTAAACAAAAAGCTAGTTTGGTGAATGCCCAAAGGAGAGAACCAGGAAACTGGGATGGGAAGACTTTCTCTTCACTGAACATACTTTTTCAATCTTTGATTTTTTCAAAGGTATTGATAGTATTTTAGGTGTTTATATTATTACTTTTTAAAGCTTTCACGGAGCTTTTATGTTTTTTCCTCTAGGGATAAAAGAATTGAGTCTATGTAGGTCTTCAGCCTTAACAAAAAGCCACTTGAAATCATCAACTTGCCATCCTCTGGCACCATGTTCCTATTGGGAAGGAAAAACAGTAAGATGGAAAATACAAATTCAACTCCCTGGCAACCAAAGTAGCGGCAGTGAATGAATTATAGTTTGGACACCTTACTGGGACTTGTAAAAAATTTCATGTTAATTTCCTCAATCTTATAAGAAAAGACAAATATTATTGCTCTTATTTTCCAGGTAAGAAAAGAGATCAGAGATCACCAAACCAGTTACTAGGAGTTAGAACTGGTACCCTCATCTTTTGGCTTCTCATTTTTGTAATCAGAGGTCCTCAATCTGTTGTGTGAGAACACTTCACAATGGGCACAGCAGAGGGTAGGAGAAGACTATGTTGAGGAAAGACGAGGAAAGGCTATCACCACTGACTGCTCCTACAGGTTTGATCTGAATAAAGTAAGAGAAGGGCCAACTTTGCAGAGAGAGGCAACAGTAGTTATCTTCAAGTTTTACACCACCTATGATGGACAGTCTTCTACTGTGGTACTTCATCACTCTGCTCCTAAATCTGACAAAACACATATAAGTATCAGGAAAGCAGTAAAGGTTAGGTATGCAGTCTCCAGAGTCAGAGTTAGAATTATGACCCTGCGCAAGTTACCTATTATCATCATCATCTCGATGTAGGGGGCAAGTTTTTGGAGCACTGTGATGATATCTCTTGCTTTTAGGGGGAAAGTTGCTTGGTCTACTTGAGACACTATATATTTAAAACATTCTCTTCTATCACCTCTCTCATTTTCAGAAGAAATTCAAGAACAATGTTTCTATCAATTTTGCTCCATCCCCCACCTGTTTGTCTCTACTTTGAAACCACAATGGTAAGCACCACAGCAGCCAGAAAACTTCCAAGGGAGGAGGACAGCTGTGGTCAGCCCACAGTAAGGCCAGATGGAAAATGACAGACAACAAAGATGGCTACTGAGAAATGGACTCTGCCTTCATCAGCTCAAATGCTCATTTAAGTTCTAGCCACCCTTAACTGCTTTGGAAAAAAGTAGAGGGGGTAAATCCATAGGCAAATAAATCATCATAGAAAAAGCCTATAACTCAAATAGAACAGGTTATTGTTAGACATTTCTTGCAAGCATAAATAAAAAAAGAGCACTGTATGGGAAACAAAAACTGAGGAGAAAAGCCAGAGAATAAATGAGTAAGGAAAACTAAGGTTTTGGTATTTTGAGCTTGGCTGGGCAGGAAAGATGGGGAAGTGAAAATGAGAAAGAAGGTGTTAGAAATGAGCACTGGTGGCAACTTTTCAAGTTTCAAGAAGCTTGAAAGGGCATGATTTCAAAAAGGTACACATGTGAACAGATACTATACCACCTCCCTACTGATTTTCCTTTGCTGCTGGTTAGGTAAAAGCAAGGGCTGTGAGAATAACAGGGTACTGAAGTGTCTCTCCAGAGAAGGTGATGTGTCCTGCATCAATGTGAAGACATGAAAAGAATTAAAGATGGCCATGAATCTTTGCTATTAAGAGATGTAGTGTATTTTTTCCTCCCCCAAGATGTGGGCTGATGTTGTGACTTGCTTTGAGCAGCAGAATGTGACAGACGTGAGGCTGTGCCTATTCCAAGACCATATGTGTTTACCATCTTGGAACCCTAATCACTTCTGTAAAGAGGTCTGGCTACTCTGTTGGGGAGACAATGTGGAAAGAGATGCTTGGACAGCCCTTGGGTGAGCTGCCATACAAATAAATGAGCCACCTGCATTTCTAGCCCCAGTATAATCTCTAGATAAACAGAGCTGTGTAAGTGACCACAAGCAAGTAAAAGAATCATTGAGCTAACTAAAACCACCCCTGATTTCTTGATCTGTGGAGTCATGAACATTAAAATGGTTGTTTTAATCAGGAGTTGGCAAACTTTTTCTTAAAGAGCCAGATAGTAAATATTTTAGGCTTGCAGGCCACACCACCTGATCTCAACTATTCAACTCAACTCTACTCAACTGTTACTGTAGTATAAAAGCAGCAACTACAGACAACATGTCAACTGAATGTGCTGGCCTGTGTTCCAATAAAACTTTACTAAAACATGTGGCATACTGGATTTTGCCCATGAGCTGAAGGTTGCTAATCCCTGTATTAAGTCTTTTTAAAAAAGATTTTATTTATTTTTAGAGAGAGGGGAAGGGAGGGAGAAAAAGAGGGAGAGAAACATCAATGTGTGGCTGCCTCTTGCATGCCCCTAACTGCGTACCTGGCCTGCAACCCAGGCATGAGCTCTGACTGGGAATTGATCAAGTGATCCTTTGGTTTACAGGCTTTTGCTTAACCTGCTGAGCCATACCAGTTTTGACATAATGCAAGAGGAGGTACTGAAACGACAGGCAAATTGCTTTGGAAGGTGGCCTCAGGGGGACCACATGAAGTCCCTCTCCTCTCTGATACAACAAGTGTTTAAGCTTAACTTTTAAGTATCATGATTGAGGTGTACTGCTAGTATAAGATTTATTCATATTCTCTGACTGCTCCATAGGATCATTAGTTCAGTCAGCAATCAGTCCTCATCATAAATAGATGAGTTTACAGAATCTTACAGGATGTCTGTTCTAAGAACAGAAATGAATGGTAGAAGCAGTACAAATGTGGAAACCATAAAACCCATTTGCTTCTGATTATGCAGGTGTTAATCATATCTAAGCTGAATCAAGTTATCCTCATGAATTATAATGAGTTAGAAAACCTGCAGTCCTATTTCCCATATTAAATTTTTAAAATCCTCCACAGAAATATATACTTAAGGAAACAAAAGACTCTAGCAAGTTCTAGCTTCCTATATCAGAAAAAAATTCATTAAGTCTCTTCTTCAGGTTTTAGGAAGGCAAATTCAACACCTCTGATAATTTTTACAAGCTGTCAACCTGTCAGCTATGCTCTGAAAGTGTTTCCTTTTCTCTTTTGGTTAATTAAAAACAGTTCAAATACTAGATAGTTGTACTGATAGCATATCAAAAAGTTATTACGAAGACTATTTAGAAATATATTAAAACTTCAAGCTATTTTTCTGATAATTTTTAAAATTATATATGACAAATACTACAAAGTTTTATTCACTGGAATCAAATTATGTTAAAATTTTTAATATGGTAATAACCATTACCTCTGCTTTAAAATTTTACTAAAATGAAGAAATAGTTCTTCCAAAAAAGTAACTGTTAAATACTCAAATTCAAAAAAAAGAAAGAGCTCATGATAATCACTAGACTTTTTTTCTATTGGAGTATAAAACTTTTTATTCAATTCATTGTGATTTTAAGAAAATAATATAATCTCGCTGGTTTTCAATTTTTCCACATGTAATTTTATGAGACCTCAGATGATGATAGTAAAATAGTCACCTGCTCAGCCAACTGATTAACCAACACATAAGAGTAGCACTCACCTGAATTCAACCACAATCTTCTTCTGGGGAAGACCAGAGAAAAGCTCACTTTTCAATCCATATTTTGAGCCATCTTCTATTACTTGATTTAGCACTGTCTAAAAAGTAAAGGCTGGGATTTAATGATAGAAAGAACCTGCAATTTTTAAAACTACTTTGTTACTAGGAACTAAATGTTGCTGATTTGCTTATTCTAATTTAGAGAACTGAGAATTTTATACCAATGCCAGCAGTACCACCTGCTTGAGTTCTTGTCTACAGGGGCTCTGTGTTCTTTTATACAATACATCCTGTCTATTCCTCCGCATAGTGATTAATCATGTAGGCATTTTACAGGTGAAGAAATTGAAGTTTAGAAGGGTTAAGTAACTGCCAGAAGTCCCACAGCAAACACTACTGATAACACCAAAACCAGAAGCAACATCTAATATTTTACTGACTGCATACTACGTGTCAGGCACTGTTCTAAGCATTTTCTATGCATGTATTCACTTAATCCACACAATAACCTTAAGAGATAGACATCATTTTTACAAACGAGGAAGTAGGAGCACAGAGAGGTTAAGTAATTTACCTAAGGTCATATGGCTATTAAGTCATGTAATTGTTTTTACTCCATAGTTTATGTGCTAGCTATTGCATGCTGCTGCTACTTTTTGTGATACTAATAATCACAAGCAATGGTAGAAAACAAATAAAAATTAGAACTCAAATGCCTATTGGCTATGTAAGTAAAATCCAGGAAATTTTACAGAAACAACCAAAACATAGTCTAGGTTAATTTTTAGTTATTAACACAGGACTATTATATAGTTCACAAAATTCATATTTTATTTTGCTAATGGTGATGATTTATTTATTTTAGGATTTTGAATTTACTGTGATAGACTTTTACTTACTTTTATATTGGTTTTGCTTTTCAAACTGGATTCTGAGTCCTAAATATGAAGTTTATGACATGAAGAATTTTATGATCATAAATGAGAGTTAGTTAAGATGGTCACTTAATGGAAAAGGCAAATGTAGCAGGAAGCAGCAAAATAATACTTTTATGATGCATCTCCAGAGTGCTAGGTTCAAGTCTAGATGCTTTTATGTTATCTTTAAGCCTCATAATCTTAGAGGTGGGCAACATTTCTCACTAAACAACTGCAAAAACTAAGGTTCAGAAACAGTATGTACTGGTATTTGCCCAAGGACACAAAGAAAACATTCTCTTCACTCACATTGTACAGTAGGACACAGAGATAAAGGATTAATAACACAGAGACATTAAAAAGTGCCTGTCATATACTAGGTGCCTTATTAAATGTTAATTACTTCAAGAATATGTGTGACAAGAAGGCTGCAAGTGGAGAGGTAAACAGTAAGAAGAAAATCATACTCAGATTGTTCTAGAGTTAAAGTCTACCCATCTTTTTCACTTTCCATCCCTTTTTATGCACTGGATGGTAGACTCCACAAATGGTAACAGCAATAAGTTAGCATGCTCTTTATAAATGACTCTCAGTTCATTGGTTTCTCTGGCACAAATACAAAAAAGTAACTTTAATGAAAAACTATCTTATATGCTTCACTTCCAAACATTCCTTTTACAATTGGACCACCTTGCCACCTGGAGCTTTTTTCTCTACTATTTCACTGAAAGTGCTCTCCAATCAAAATTCTAAATGCCAAACCTAAATGAATGCTTAAATTTTAATATATTACTTTTATGAGTACATTCTTTTTCTAAAATAAAAAATAAACAAGGTAAAGCTCAAGTCTAGAGTGAGTCCCTTTTGATCCCTTTGTCCCTTCTGGCCTTCCCCAGGGATGCCCACTTTTCACACACTATCTTAGCTGAAGACTACTCTCCTCTTGCAATGACCCTCCCTCTTTGGTTGTATTGACACCACTCTCTACAGACTTTTGCCTCTTGGTTTCCTTTGCAGGCTCCTCTTCCACTGCCTGTCGCTCCACTTCTCACCCTGTACTCCTTCCTTGCTTCTAGTCCTTACATTACACATCTCCTAGGTATAACTTGCTAAGACTTCGAGTACTACTTACCTAACAAAATATCACCTGTGCCACAGAGTGATATATCCAGCTTAGGACTGGACAGCTCTCCTAAGCACTTCAAACAGAATATATTGGTTTGGACAAAAAGTTCGTTTTTTCCATAAAATAAAAGGTACATTTTTCATTTTCAAGAGTAACTTTATTGATCTGGACATTTTCGTATGTTGGCCATCTCCAGTATTCATTGTTCTCAATTAATGTCTTGATTTTATCACTATCAACTTTAACTGGTGTACATGAAACTTTGTAAACCACCTTTGACAAGTTTGATAAGTCACAGCACTTTCTCCATACACTGCACAAATCTTTTTTTTTGCATTTCAGTTGTGTTTTACCTTTCTTGAAATAATAATGCATAATATGCTGAAAATGTTGTGTATTTTCTTCCATCTTCAATATTAAAATGGCTACACAAAAATTCATTGATTTTGATAAGTTTTATTTTTAATGCATGCTGATAGTACAGCGATTACTATACAATCTAACAAAATTGTTTCAAATGAAGTTAAAGACAACTAAATGCTATCAGAGTGCTCTTGTGGAAATAACCAAACCAACTTTTTGGCCAACCTAACATGTCTCCTCCTTTTGCATTCTCCATTTCCATGAACTTTACCCCCAACTAATCAAGTCTAAAACACAGGAGTTCCTAAGATTACCCCTTTCCCTCCTTCATATCCACAACCAATCAGATATTAATCACCACGCCCAGCTAATGCTACCTCCTAAATATCATTGTAGTTGTACCCTCTGCCCCATCATATGTCAGCGATACCACTACAAAACAATAACGACAACAAAGCAGTAACACCTATCTTCTTATAATGTACATATAAATTTACAGTTGGCCATTGAAGAATGTAGGGGTTAGGAGCACTGACCTCCAGTGCAGTTGAAAATCCATGTATAACTTTTGACTCCCCCAAAACTACTAATAGCCTACTGCTAACAGGAAGCCCTATCAATAAACAGTCTATTAATACATTTTTGTATGTTATATATACTATATACTGTATTCTTACAATATAGTAATCTAGAGAAAAACATATTTAAAAAATCATCAGGAAGAGAAAATACATTTACAGCATTTATTGAAAAAAATCCATGTATAAGTGGATCCATGAAGTTCAAACCTGTGTTGTTCAAGAGTCAATTGTATAACTATGAAAATGAAACTTTATTAGTGTAATACCAAAAATTATCATATGTTCTAGCTGTGGTACACAGAGGAAAATGCTAAAACTCTTTATGCAGAGCATATGAGGCCCTTCACAGTGTATAATTTCATATCCTCCCCATGCTATCCTATAAGCATAGCATACTCAAAGCATACTAGCTGATTTCCAGACCATGACATGTTTTTGACTGTGCTCTGGCCCAAGCTGTCCTCTCTGCCTGCTCTTGTATCCCCCAGGTAAATTCTTCTTTATCTTTATCTCAATTCAAGGTTACTCTTCTTGCCTCAAGACAGACTTAAGTGCAACTTTCTTTACACTAGATTGCAACTTTAAGCTTGCCTCCATTATATTAGTCATCACATTATCATATCCATCACACTTTACTTTTTATGTTCCTATTTTTTATCATAAGCTCCTTGAGGGCAGGAGGAGCTATCTTTAGATTTCAGTAATATAGTCCCTGGTAAATAATAAGCAGAAGGTTTATTAAATTAATGGGCACATAGAAGCTATCAACTCTAGACTGGCAGTGAGCTAGTAAATTCCCTCATTCCAATAGATGAGCAAGCTAGATGTTCATCTATTCATCAATATGTCTAAATGTAAGATGTACCAGTAATGCAAATATAGGTGCATAATGAGTATATAATCAGAAATTAAATCTACCAAAGTTTTCACTTTTTGGAGTGCTTTAACAAATTAACAAATACTCTAATTGGCTAGCACTTGTTGTTTATCACCATCACTTTTCTGTGGATGACTTTTGTCATTTTACCTAACTCTTCGTTGGTTGCTATTTTTCTATAGCTCTGAACAGGACTGCTAAGAGAGCTACCACTACCTATTTGTTTAGTCAATTCATTAGTCAATAGTGGAAAAGTGCTTAATTATTAATTCTTTCCTTGTGTTCAACCAACTGCACTACACGTTACTTGAATGCATCCTGACTGCCTACTGACATAAACTTAATTAGTAAAATAATGACCAAAATTAGAACCATCTAAATCAGTATCTCTTTTTTCTTAAGTCTTAGTGAAGAATGTAAAATTGAATTTGGCAAATAAAAAAATGCATGTATATATGTAAAATAAAAATGATGTTATCCACTGGGTACTTCTTAGGCATACATAAAAAACAGGATTGGTTCCTAGCTAACCTCTTATTTTTTCTTTCCACAATCTGAAATTATTATTACTTGAAGTTAGTTTCTCTTGAAAGTCATCCATAAGCTACTGACAGGTGAGGTCTGATACCAAAGTGACAGTTCTTCACAATGTATGAACTGATCATATCATCTTCTAGCTTTGAAATTTTATGATCTAGTCCCAGAGATCTGGCAGTTTCTATTGCATCTAATTCATACTTTAGCCTCCTACCTTTGAGAATGATTTATATGAAGAAATTGTAAGCCACTATTAGCGATGCAAACTTAAGCTAACGTTTAATCATTCTCAGTGCTCGCAGAGCTAATAACTCAACAGCAATTCACAAACAGGTAATGTTTCATGCAGGCTAAGTTTGTACATGTGTAAGCAATGACATATTCATAATTCTCTTTTTGAGGAGTAAGTTTTGGACATAAATCACTGGCTACATGTCAATCTTAATAACTCTAAAATGTAAAAAAAATAAAAAGGATTTTTAATGGTTCTAAAAGAGCTGAATATTTTTTCTTGATATGACTTGAAAAATTCATTAGGCACACAAAGGACCACTATTTAAGGCCAGAAATAATGGACCCAGATGTAGAAGAAATTAGACTTTAAGCAAAAAATAATTATCATTAAAAAATTATAGTATATGACTTCTGGTCAAGATGGAGGTATAGGTAGACACACTTTACCTCCTTCATGCAACCACAGAGAGAAGTACAAGTATTTCTCAAAACAAATAACAATTCGAACTGTCAGAAAATTGAGCTGTATGGAAGTCCTACAACCAAGTATTTAAAGAAGCCACATTCATCCAGATGGATAGGAGGGGTGGAGTTCTGAGATGTGTGGAGAGGCAGTGTGGCATGGAGTGGTGGTGGCAGTGGCAGATTGGGCAGTCCCACATTCACATATGGTGGATAAAAATGGGGACAGATACCTTGAGAGTGAGTGATCCTAGCCCCAAGCCAGAACGCAAGGCCCAGGGTTCCAGTGCTTAGAAGGTAAATCCCCATAACTTCTGGCTGTAAAAACCAGTGGGGGTTGGGACAGCGGAAGAACCTGCTAGAGTTTCAAGAGAGTTCATTTAAAGGGCCCGAATGGTCCCAGAATGAATGCAAACTCACCCATTCCTTGATTCACGACCAGGGCTACAGCTGGAAGGTCACCAGTTGCATACAGAAAGTGGGTGAAGTGACTGGAAACAAGGAGAGTGCTGGCAAACCTCTAGAAGCCAGGCAGAGGCATTATCCCCTCTCTGAACCCTCCCCTCACACAGAGCTACAGAGTGTGAAGCACGTTGTTCCACACTCATGATTACCTAATGCTCTACCCTACACAATTTACAGGTGCCTCTTATAGGGAGTCAAAGTAGCTCTACCTAATACACAAAAATAAACACAGTGAGGCTGCCAAACTGAGGAGACAAAGAAATATGGCCCACATGAAAGAACAGAACAAATCCCCAGAAAAAGAACTAAACAAACTGGAGATAACTAATCTATCAGATGTAGAGTTCAAAACACTGGTAATTAGGATGCTTGAAGAACTCACTGACTATGGCAAAAACATAAGGGAAGAAATGAAGGTTACAGTAAGTGAAATAAAGAAAAATCTACAGGGAACCAATAGTTGAGAGGATGAAGCCCAGAATCAAATCAATGATTTGGAACACAAGGAAGGAAAAAGCATTCAATCAGAACAGCATGAAGAAAAGAGAATTCAAAAATATTGAGGATAGGTTTAGGAACCTCTGGGACAACTATAAATGAACCAACATCTGAATCATAGGGATGCCAGAAGGAGAAGTGGAAGAGCAAGAAATTGATAACTTATTTGAAAAAATAATGAAAAAAAACTTCCTTAATTTGGCAAAGGAAATGGACACACAAGTCCAGGAAGCACAGAGTCCCAAACAAGTTGGACCCAAAGAGGAACACATCAAGACACATCATAATTAAAGTGCCAAAGATTAAAGATAAAGAGAGAGTCTTAAAAGCAGCAAGAGAAAAGCAGAGTTACCAACAAACGAGTTCCCCTAAGACCATCAGTTGATTTCTCAAAAGAAATTTTGCAAGCTAGAAAGGACTGGCAAGGCATACTCAAAGTGATGAAAAGCAAGGACCTACAACCTAGATTACTCTATCCAGTGATCATTTAGGTATCATTAGGTATCCAGGTATCATTTAGAATGCAAGGGCAGATAAAGTGCTTCCCAGATAAGGTAAAGCTAAAGGAATTCATCATCACCAAACCATAATTACATGAAATATTAAAGGGACTTACTTAAGAAAAAGAAAAAGGCACCTGTACGAACATTATGAACAAAAGGCAAATCTACGAACATTAAAAAAGCAACAAATTCACAACTGTCAACAACTGAATCTAAAAAAATAAACTAAGCAAACAAGCAGAACAGGAACAGAATCACAGATACGGAGATCATTTGGAGGTTATCAGTTGGGGCTGGGGGAAAGGGGATGAATGGAGGAAAAGGGTGCAGGGATTAGGAAGCATAATTTGGTTATGCTTTCAATACAGACACTTTCAATACCCTCTTTTTAGACGATGGGTGTTTGTTCACTGCTTAACTACTGTGAGCAATGGGCTTGTTCCTTTAACAAAATCAAACTAAGATCCAGATCCTTAAGGCCACAATGAAGGGAGAATTTCTATGTGAGGAAGAGTATCTGGACCTGAAAGCCCTAACTGTTATTCTCTCTTTTGTCAATGGAGAAGAATTTGGGAATATTTTTAATAGCAAGTGGGCTCCTTAAGCCAGTGAAAATCTCAGTTTGCTAATTGTAATAAAGGATGAAAATTCATGGCTATTAAATGTTGAAATTATTAAGTAAATATTGTATTTTCCTGTGTATAATGCACACTCACATTTGTGGCCCAAACTATGAGAAAAAAATTCTTTTAATTTCCTAATTCAATTATTTATTTAATTTATATTTAGGTAGTTGTTTCTTGTATTACAAAGGAATTTCAGCATTTATTTTGGAATATATTATGGTACAAGAAATTTTATGTAAGAATTACCAAACACAAGAAACACAAGGTATTTCAGGTACTACTGGGTTTCCTTATTTTTTCCCTCAAAAAGCTGGGCAAAACCATGTGCATTATACACAACAAAGTATGGTCTATATCTTGACTTAAAATAAAAACTACATCTCTTTCAGGTAAGCTGGCTATGAAAGCAAACTCTAACTACTATAAAGGACACATGGACAAAACCAACAGGGAGGGTGGAAGCAAGAGAGGGAGGTGAGTTTGGATGGGGTGGGGAGAAAATGCAGATAATTGTAACTGAACAATAAAATAATTTAAAAATAAAAAGGCAAACTCTATCTACCACAGCACATATTCCCATCTTAGGAAAAGCAAAAACAGTACAATATTGATGCCTATCAAATGGCCTAAAGTTTGATGGGCACTTTGGTGAGTTGCATATCTACTTCAATAAAATTAAGACAACTGGAAAGGTCACTTACTTAAAAATAGTAAATTAGACTCATGGTTTGCTAATTTTTTTTTAAAGATGCTATTTGTTTTTTAGAGAGAGGGGAAGGGAGGGAGAAAGAGAGGGAGAGAAACATCGACCAGTTGCCTCTTGCATGCCCCCAACCCAGTACATGGCCCACAACCAGGCCTGTGTTCTGACTGGGAATCCAACTGGTGACCTTTTGGTTTGCAGGCTGGATCAATCCACTGAGCCACACCAGCCAGGGCTGGTTTGCTAAATTTACATGAAATGTTATCAAGAGCCCAGTAGGCTTTTGTAGACACTGTTTAAAAAGCTCAAAAAAAATTTCCTTCTTTTCCTTGTAACTGATTTTTGGTTAACTACTTTGAAGTAAGAGTGAAAAAAGAAAAAATCTAAAAGAACTAGAGACAAGTATGAGACAGTATCTCTCCTTCAGTGAAAAAATATATTAGAAATTTTGGTTTTATAATTGTTTTTAAGAGGCAGCAATTACTAAGTCTGGCCAACTCAATGCAGGTGTGTATGTGTTTTCAATAATACACTAGATAGCATGCATTATGGTAAACTTTAAAGTTTAATTGAGATGAAACTCTTAACAAAAGGCCTCATATCACTGCTATCATGATCTCACTCATGTGAAACCCAATTCCTCTATGTGATTTCCCCAAATCCTCTAAGACATCCTGACTTTTCCACCTTTGATTTTTCTTATGCTTATTGTACCAATCATCTTTAGTATTGTTTTATTAAAAGCTGTATTATAAACTTATAAGATATATGTCTAATAAATCTTATGCTTCCAACAAATTATAGGCTACCAGAGAGCAGAAACCAGCAGTACTTTCTTACATTCAATACAGAGTCCATTAATTCATTCAACAGTTACCTCATACCTACCACTTGCCAGGCATTGTGCTAGGAACTGAAGATCCAATAGAGTTAGAAAAACAGAAACTGTAAGCCCTAATGAAAACTAGAGTTTAAAGGACAACAGGCATTAATCAAATAAAAGGAATGTAAAATAGAAACTATGGTAAGTGTTTCAAGGAGAGCTATACAGTGCTATGGGAGTGTATAAGTGAAGGGGTCAGAAAGCCACTGCCAGGAAATATTAAGATCTGAAAGATAAGTAGAAGTTAATGTGAGGTGGCCCTCCAGGCAGAGGCATTAGAATGTGCAAAAGCTTCGAGGTAGGAGGAGGCACAGTAAGTTAAGGAAACTACTGTAGCTAAAGCAGTGGGTAAAGATGCAAGAGCTGTAATACCCATTCTTACCTTTGTTAATAGTTCTCTATTTATTTTGAAATTTATAGTCCCTTGACCAGTGCTGATTTCACTCACCACTGTATCACATTTTAGCTGAAAAGACAACAAATGAAGTAAAATAAGTATGTTATAAAATAAGCCTAATAAGAGTTGTAGTTCTAAAACTATCCGATTTTCAACTGTCCAAAGGCAGCAGGTGGATCATCTCTTTCAGTCATTATATCTGAACTTGGGCCTTAAGCCAGTCTTTTATGACAGTCATTCTACTTGGGTAAGCATGTTTTCTTCTTTTCCTGATGAGAACAGTATTCTGTATTTTGAGTCTCTCCCTCTTTCTCATTCCCTCACCTCAAATTCTCCATCTGACATTGAAGAATAACAGCAACACTTTACGCACCTGGACAGGCAATGAACTATTTTTATCTCACCCACATTTTGCGAGGGCCACAGAACATGACATTCTGTCAGGGTCTATGCTAAATCACTTGTACCAACACATGAAATGTAAATAATTTAAATACTTGGTATTCAATGAGTATGCCTTAACATTTTAACCAACTATTCAAAAGCACCTAACATACCCATGGAACTTGAAGGAATACCTGATGTCAATGAGAAGCCAGTAGTTTTTAAGACTAAATATTGTAATTAGGATGGTTCTACTCCTGGTATAATTCCTGAGAAAAATCTGAGGTGGTTCTTGATCAAATAAATATTTACTCAACTACCAAACATCCTTTACAATTCTCATTGTTCAAACATTGTTTTCTGTGATGACTTTCACTATTCTAGGTCTATAGGGTACCCAGACACCTCTTTTGTGTCACATATAATAACCTTATTAGAAAAAAATACCTTGTCCAACATCTGCCTTTTCTGATGGTATTACACTAACAATTTGGTCATTGTCTACAATTCTTTCAATTCCCCCTTTAGATACCAAACTTAACAGAAAAATGAGAAATTAAAGAGGTTTATTAAATCATCTAACTGTTTTCTCTCTACAACCATGATTCTATTTCCATCTAATCATTTCCTCTCATATTTTAATGATCATCTTCTCAGAAACTCATTTTAAAAAGTGCAACCCACTGCTCTAATTTATCAAGCTTGTTCTCCTAAATTCAGAAGTTCATCCAGCTTCAACATGAAATTTTAATTATCACTTCAGTCCTCCTGTAAGCAGTTAAACAAAAAAATTGAACACTGTCAGCTCAAGAGGAATGGTTTGTAACTAAACTGAAAAATCACCCTAATCTTATAGTACAAGGGTAAAATGAATTTAAGTGATATTTTCCAAGGCACCTTCAACATAGAAACATTAATAAATTCATTATTATTGCTGAGATAGTCTGCTGAGTATTTTTTTCCTTAAAATAATAAGTGTATTACAAAGTCAAAAAAGGTAATAGTGCTAAAGTACCTTCTCTGCCAGTCTTGTGGCTTGAACTTGAATATCTGGTCTTGAATGGTCACTGTTCTCCAACAGAGACTCCATAGAAAGCTGAAAATCAGCTATTTCTCTGAAGACAGACATTGAAATAGGAAAATGTTGTTGTTACTCTGCAGACATTACTAGTATGACCCAAAAAAGAACAAATCAATATGGGTTCTCCATATTGACATAATTTTATAAGAAAAAGGTTGTTACGCTTTCAATATATAAAGCAAAGAAGTTAAAAATATTATAACCTTGTATATTTATTTAGAACTTTACCTTTTATCATCTTATAAAATTCTTCTTCTTCTATTATCTACTTGTATTGTACAATAGCTTCATATCTCTGTGAGATAAGTAGAACAGCCACTTTGAAAAAAGTTAAGGCCTGACATGTTAGAAAGTAAGCATGTGAGTGTTCATCACATTATTCTCTATAATTTTTTCTGTAGGTTTGCAATAGTTCAAAGTGTAAAATAATTTTTAACTGACACAGAAATACCTATATTATTACCTATATTGAACATCTGATATTTAATAAGGAACCAGAGAATGAGACTCTATGAGCAGAATAAGTGGGTTGAACCAGTGTCCGTCAAGCCTACTGGACATTGACACAAAAGGACACATTTTGTAAACTAATGAGCAAAATAGAACCAGAGGCACAGAATCATGGAGCAGACTGACAGAGGTAAGAGGGGAGGAGGAAAGAGGAGACTGTTTAAAGAAGGTGAAGGGATTAGTCCAGGAATATGTGCAGATCCATGCACATGGACGACGGGGGAAGGACTAACTATGAAAGTGGGGGGCAGGCTGGGTAGAGGGAGCCAGAGGGGGAAATAATGGCAACAACTGTAAAACATAAATTTAAAAAGGAAAAGAAAAGGACACATTTTAGAGGGGCACAAATGACTCCATTGTCATCACTGTTAAAATTTAGAAGCATGTCAAAAAATTGTGTCTCTTCTATTTAATAGCCCATTAAAGAACCCAGTCAACAATGACAATAAAGAATTTTCCTGAGCATTCTTCAATTATCCAGCAGACTAGTGTGAATTATACTTACCTACCCAAACTTATCTACTGATATTTAAGCTATAACTTAAACAGACCCATGTCTGTCTATTAATCAGTGCCTGTGTGATCTTGGGCATGTTGCTTAAACCTCCCTTGTAACCTCAGTGAAATGGTAATAGTACCTACTTCATAGTGTTGCTGAGAAATTAAGTTCTTGTCAAATAATACTAATCCTAATTCTAATGTTAAATACAAAATGTTTAATAGTACCAGTATTGAGCCCTGGGGAATTATTCTGTCCGTAGTTCTTATACTAGCTTGGTTGGAAAACTATACTTTTTTTTTTCCTAAGAGTATTCTCTAATGATTAAATGACCATCTGATTTTTCTAAAGATTAATTTTAACTGTAGAGACTCATATACAGTCTAAATGTATTTATTTTATTTATTATTTCCAAAGTACTCTGATAGCTTAGTCAAGTGTTTGTGCCAATAATGTGGGAAATTGAACAAATCAGTTTAATAAAATGGGAATAACAAAATAACACACAATTTTTAAATGAAAAAAATTTAAAAGTAATACTATTAATTGAAATAGTATTACTATTATACTATCATAGTATACCATAATAATATTAATTGAAATTATACAGATTTGAATAGGCCAAAGATTAAACTATGATTTTTGACATTTGGCTAGGATACTTTATAAAAGGTTAAAAATAACCATAAACATACAGAATGATTCTCAAAACATTTAGAAAACACAAAGAGGTCATAGGATTTTCTATAGATAGTTTTTAAAAATGAATGGTAGGAGGCATCTACAATTTTATTTTAGACATAAATAATAAAAAAGTTCAATTTAATTTAAAATTTAATTATCTAAATTGAGTCACAAATATCCCCAATTATTTCACTGGTAGGAAAATTTTTTAAAAATCATTATTTTAGTCTATTAAAAATGATTAACAATAATTTATTAACTAGGAATATTTAAAACATGAATTATGAAATGATGTGAAGGGTTACTTGGCAGTAAAAAAAGACCAAAAAGAGAAATAAATGCTTTAAGGAGCTATGCAGGAATCAACCAGACTTGACCTACTTCCCAGTTTTCCATTTTGGGAGCTTTCAGTTATATACCTACAAGGAACTTTTTGCTCTATTTAAAGATGTAATTCTTGAATGTGAATTATGTTAAAAATCAGAACTGGAAACATTCTAAATGTCTATCAGCAGGGGAGCATTTAGAGTATTATTTAGCCATTGTTAAAAGTGATACTTACAAAAAAAGAATGATGTCAAGGGAAAGGATTAAAGAACCAAACATACAGTAGTTTTATAACTGTTTTCTTACAGGCTGCCAGATATGTTCAAAAAGAAAATATGAAAATATACCAGCTTGCTAACACCAGATATCTTAATGCAGTAAGACTAATGGGAATTTTTTTCTCTTCTTGTACTTCTATAATTTCCTAAATTTCCTTAAAATTATGTTTTGCTTTTGTGATAGAAAAACAAATTAATTAAAAAAACCTTTAAAAAGACATAACACCTAGACTATGAAAAACAGTAGTTGTCAAAATAAGCCATGGTGAAGCAGGAGAGTGAGTAGGGGTGTCTACTGTCATTGGCACATGGTCAGTTTTGTTTGTTTCATTTTGGGAGCTTCCAATTATATACCTTTCTGCTCTATTTAAAGATGTAATTCTTGAATGTGAATTATGTAAAAAGTCAGAACTGAAAACATTCTAAATGTTTCACTCAGAAAACATTTAGAAACAAAACTGGCTATGTATTAATGACAGTGATTGATGGGTACATAGGGGTCATTAATCTATTTCTTCTACTTTAATATTTAATAAATATTATTAAATTAGTATTAACAACTTAATATTATTATTAAATAGTAATAAATTGATGTTTAAGTTAAAAAATAGTTTAGAAAGCAACAGCTACTTTCCCACTCCTTTTGAGGAGCTGCTGTTGTTGTGCTAGAGTGAAATCCCTGGACTTGAGTACTACTGGCTTGTAACAATCACTAATCCTCTCTACTATGATCAGTACTAAACAGAGGTTCCACCATAGCTGAAAATATAATTGAATTAGGAGACCTAAGCAAATTGATTCATATCACATTAAATAAGCCACATTAACAAAAATAACATGTCTTAATCTCCTGGCACTAAGGATTTTAGAATAAAGTTAGAAATATAGAACAAGTTAGCCTTGGTTTTAGTACTCTAAAAGACATTTGGGTTATGACAAAGCATTTGTTTTAAATAAATGTAATATGTAGAATTTTAGACTTGTAGCCTAGAAAAATTGAGGTCCTCTTCAATATTTACTTTCTATTAACGACAATCTTAGTACTTCAGATTGTTTAAATGCAGCTACCAAAAGGAGCTCTAGGCAGGTAAAGGAAGTCTTATTCAAAAGATAGTCCAAGGCAGGTCAGTTTATTAAAGGCCTTTGAAACATAAAAGAAAAACAGAGATAATCCCATGATTATGCAGAATGTCACTGATAGTTTTTATGAAATAGGTAACCAGTTTAGAATAGTATATCCATTTATATATAATCATAAGTTCTTAGGTCAGTAGTTGCATTGTTCTTAGAATTCAATATAGAGGAGGTTGTAGGGGGCCACTTTTAAGATATTCTGTTTTATAATGCCATATGTAGCTTTCTTTTCCTTTTTCACTTATCTCTTTGTCCTATTCTGGGAGCAAGAATATTTATCCTGCTCTTATTTAAAATCCTGACAAAGGGGACAAAACGTAAGGACATATTGATAGTGATGGTTCTATCTTTATATCTTTCTAAAGCTTAGGGCTTAAATGCTTACTATGCAGTCAATTTCTTGTCATTATTAATTAACTTAGAGGGTATTTTATCCAAATGTTACAGTTTTCTAGCCAAATGATAAACGCTTATTATTTATTTTTTAAATATATTTTATTAATTATGCTGTTACAGCTGTCTCATTTCCCCTCTGCATTCCCCTCCACCCTGGACACCCTCTTCCACCCACATTCCACTTTAGTTCATGTCCATGTGTCAGAAGTTCTTTAGCTTCTACATTTCCCATACTATTCTTACCCTCCACGTATCTATTTTCTACCTACCATCTATGCTACTTATTCTCTATACCTTTTCCCCCTCTCTCCTCCTCCTACTCCCCTGTTGCTAACCCTCCATGTGATATCCATTTCTGTGGTTCTGTTCCTGTTCTCGTTGTTTGCTTAGTTTCTTTTGGTTTTGCTTTAGGTGTGGTTGTTAATACTTGTGAGTTTGCTGTCCTTTTACTATACATGTTTTTTCTTTATCTTCTTCTCTTAGACAAGTCCCTTTAACATTTCATAAAATAAGGGCTTGGTGATGATCAACTCCTTTAACTTGACCTTATCTGAGAAGCATTTTATCTGCCCTTCCATTCTAAATGAATGCTTTGCTGGACAGAGTAATCTGGGATATAGGTCCTTGCCTTTCATGACTTGGAATACTTCTTTCCAGTCCCTTCTTGCCTGCAAGGTTTCTTTTGAGGAATCAGCTGACAGTCTGATGGGAACTCCTTTGTAGGTTACTATCTCCTTGTCTCTTGCTGCTTCTAGGATTCTCTCCTTCATTTTTACCTTGGCTAATGTAATTATGATGTGCCTTGGTGTGTTTCTTCTTGGGTCCAACTTCTTTGGGACTCTCTGAGCTTCCTGGACTTCCAGCAAGTCTATTTCCTTTGCCAGATTGGAGAAGTTCTCCTTTATTATTTGTTCCAATAACTTTTCTACTGGTTGCTTTTCCTCTTCCTCTTCTGGTACCCCTATAATTCAGATGTTGGATCGTTTAAAGATGTCCTAGAGGTTCCTAAGCCTCTCTTCATTTTTTTGAATTCTTATTTCTACATTCTTTTCTGGTTGTTTTTTTCCTTCTGGTCCACACCATTGATTTGAGTCCCAGTTTCCTTCCCATCACTATTGGTTCCCTGTGCATTTTCCTTCATTTCTCTTATCATAGCCTGCATTTGTTTATCTAATTTGCGACCAAAATCAACCTATCTGTGAGCATCCCGATCACCAGTGCTTTGAACTGTGCATCTGATAGGTTGGCTATCTCGGTCGCTTAAAAAAACTGGCTCTGGGGCTTTTAATTCTGTTTAAGCCACCTTTTTTATTTTATTTTATTTTTTCCTTTGGTCTGGTTGTGCCTGTTATATATGAGGGGCAGAGCCTTAGGTGTTCACCAGGGCAGGGTACTCCAGTCACTGGGTTGTGACATTGTATGGGGGTGCGGGGTCCAAGAGGGAACAATGGCACTTGATCCGCTCTCCGTGGGACCTCAGTCCCTTCCGCTGCTTCCCCCAAGCAAACTGGGCCCCTCTAGAGTCAATTCCCGTGTAGGTGGGCTTGTGCACACTGTGGGACCCTCCAAGAACCTCTCCTGCGAGGCTGGGAGTCCCTCCCTGCTCCTCAATCCCCACAGGTGTTCTCAATCAGTGCCCCAAGGCTCTATTTCCCAGCGCTGTGATCCTGGGTTGCTAGCAGTGCCTTGCTTCATAATTGCCGCCTTGCTGGGTCTGCTGTTTGCCACCCCTTGGCTGAGGCCTGCCAGCTGCTGCTTGTGCGCTCAGGGTCCACCCGCTGCAGTCTTGCGCGTAGAAGCCTTACTTGCCTGGGCCCAATGCTCTCCCCACTGCAACCCATGTCTGGCTGCCCGAGTCCGCCCTTCCTACCAGTCTGGATGAACGCATCTATTTTCCTGGTTGTCCGACTTTCATTCAGATCAATTTTCTGTCAGATCTGGTTGTTATCTTGTTTCTAAATTGTTGCTGACCTTATTTTGGTTGTGCGATGAGGCACAGTGTGTCTACCTATGCTTCCATCTTGGCCAGAAGTCCAACACTTACCATTTAGAATGACCAAAGTCACAAAGAGATAGATATGTCCCTGCATTCCATAAGGCAACTATTGGTTGCACGTAGTCTTAACCAATAGTTCTCCACATCACCAAAAGTCCTCAAATGGAGACAAGAAAAAACCCCGACAAACAACCCCCCCCCAAAAAAAACCTAGCAGGTAAATATTGTACAATGGCATTCAAGCATCAGATAGATGTATAATCTTTAAGAATCTTTCAACTACAAACTTAGTTCTTTTATTTGCTGTTACAGAATGAAATCTTAACCTTATTCTTCATTCTTCTTCAAGACTTTGCCATAATTATAGTTAACAGCATAAATAAATATCAAAACAACACAAGCATACTACTATGGTTAATTCCAAGGACTACTCTGTAAATTGAAGAGTAACTTTTTTTTTGTATATTTACAAAGTCAACAACATTTTAAATTGTTATGAATATACTTAACTCTTTCCTGGAAATTGGAACAGCAGATATTGACTTGATTAAGTTTTCTGGTGGAAGATCCAATACTCTGGAAAGCTAAAAATAAAAACAAAATGGAGCATGACTATTAATATATTTGTTCCAGATTCAATGGAATACTCAGCAATAAAAGGAATACTGAGACACTTAACTAAACGAGTCTCAAATGCACTATGCTAAGTGATAAAAGTCATTCAAAAGGCTACATACTTTAAGATTCAATTTATTTAAAATTCTGGAAAAACCCAAACTGTAAGGATGAAGAACAGATCAGTGGTTGTCAGAGATTGAAGGTGAGAGGGTTTGATGATAAGAAACAAACATAATTGTTCTCTCTTCCCCAAAATGAATTTTATATATGTATATTTAAAAATAAATTATTTTTTAAAAAGGAGATAAACCACAGAGGAACCAAATGTAATTCATTTTATTCATTCATGAAGTATTTATTGAGTACCGATTTTGTGCCAGACCCTGTTCTAGGAATTGGGGATATGGCAATGAACAAAAGAGACAAAAATCTTATGGCACTTAAGCATACACAAGCAAGCAAACAAATATTGAGAAAAAATCTGTTCCCCAGGCCCTATTAAAAGTTTAGCAGAATAGCAAGGGTCGGGATATTTGCTCCTTAAATGACTGTAATGCGTGGGTAGCCACAGTTGCAAACTACTGCCCTAGTCAACCCCCTTTATTGACTTATTCTTACATGACAGGCACATCTTATATGCCTTAATTTTTCGTTGAAACAATCCCATGACTTTCACACTATCATACTTTATTTCATGAATGATGAAAGTGAAATACAAGAATTTGTGTAACTGGCTTAAGTGGAAGAGCTTGAATGTGAACACAAGCAATCTAAAACATGAACCTCCGCTAGACCCCTGTGTCATACCTGCATCCTATCCTTTCAATGAGAAATGCTTAAAAACAGTGAAATAGCAGTACAGCATAGTGAAATTAAAACTGTTTTCATCTTTCTTCCCCACCTCCTCAATTTTTATGAAGGCTTTGCAATGGACAAACCATGGCTGTTGAGGGAGAAGACAAAGGAGAAATGGGGTAAACAGGAAAAGTAAAGAATGTAAAAAGAAATCTTCAGAGTTGTTTGTAAGTATTCCCAATAGGAGTAAAACTAAAACCACTGTCTCCTGACTAGTAACATTACTCTGAAATTGTAAAAAAAACTTTGTTAAATTTCACAAATGTTAAAAAAAAAAGTGGAAACTTGCAGACCTGGAAAAGCTGTCATATATTTTTAAGATGCTGTGTACATTTCTGCTTTGATCTAGTATACGTTGACTTTTAAGTACATAGGATGTCTGGTTCTCCATCAACAGATACACTAGATAGGCAGAATCCAAAGACATAAACTTCAGAAGTGATAGCCAAGGAAGGATACAGCACATTCTGAAGAGGAATGGGTGCAGCCTGTTTAGCTATGCTCCTAACTTAAATTAACAACCCTCATTAATACCCCAAATCCAGAGGTATTCCTCTCTCTATGAATAGGAGATGCCGGAGAGCTGCAGGAGAGAATTAGTAAAACAGAGAAGTGAATTCCAGCACCTTCCAGCAGAAGTGAAGATTCCAGGACAGCACACTGGGAGCCTCCCCAGTGGAAACACAACACTCGTACATTCCCCAATTACAGGAAATAAATTTTGATTTGGTGTTGCATGTGCAGTGAGAATCAGAGGAACTTTTATGCAAATATGAAAAAATATCAGGGCTAGGAAGCAAAAATCTAATATGCCAAGTTAGAGTTCAGGAATATATGTACAGGTCACCACAACCTACTGGAGAGACAAAAAGAGGAATGTGGAGCTGCAGAGTTTATATTTTTATAACCAAAGAAGTGAGGTGAGCCAAGAACAAATCTGAAATGGAGAGTGAGGAAATCACCTGCACAATGCAGGAAAATATACAAAATTTTTGGGCAGAGCTGACAAGCCTGAGCAAGAGGAAAAAAAATAAGCATAAATAGGCAGAGAGAGAGAGCGCGAGCACGCGCGCACACACTAGCGCACACACTCTTACTTGAAGAGGGAAGGAAAAAGAGAAGGAATGTGGTATACAGGAGACCAAAGAACTCTTATCTAGAAGAAAAATATAACCCAATGAAGACAAACACATTCTTCATAAGTGCTTCAACATTTGTAAATGCAATAAACGACAACTAAAAGACATGACAAACAGAATGAGATAAAAAGGGAGTTTAAAAATTAAATAAATTGATAAAATACTTTTAATACAGAATGATTAAGAAACACAAAGGAAGAGAACAGTCATAATTAAAAATAAAAATATGACATAGAAGTTCTAAGATAATTAGAGAATACAGTTATAAAAACATAAAGTAACCAGAGAAAGATAAAACGATTGCATTGAGATAATCCAACCTTAGGATACTTGGTGTCCCTAAAATATAAAAAGAGCAGCAAAGAAGCAAGAGAACAGGAAGATGGGTACATTGGTTTTCCAGCAGCAAATATGTAAGGACAGAGACAAAGTCCAAAGCCACTCTTCAAAAAGTGATAGCCAAAGAAAGATGTAAAACATTCTGAAGCAGAGTAGAGCAGCTTTAACAGAGTGCATCCTAACTTGGTCTCACTCATCTGAAGCTATAGAGATAAATCATCTCCTCCCCCCTCAAAATTAAAAGTATTTGTAGATATATATCTTGGTTCCTTCAAAAGCAGGACCTGAGAAAAGGATTACATGTAGGTAGTTCATTTGGAAGGTGACTCCTGAGGGCAGAAGTGATGACTGGGGAGAGTAAAAGAAAAGAGAAAAAGTTAACACAACATTGTGCTATCAAGGCAACTGCTATAGGCACTGGGAGCTTAATTTCCATTACTACCTCCTAAGAAGTATACATGGTATCTACCAAAATTGTCTATCCCAAAACAGGAGCTTCCATACCCCATTGACGGGGGGCTGTCCTTGATATTAACTCAGTCACACCTGAGCTGAGTATAGGCAGGGATCAGCAGGCTTTCAGACTGAATGGGATGCTGTTAGCAGTGAGTGAATTGAGGCACATGTGAAACTGTTCACACAAGTCGTAGCTGGAATCACAGGTGTGACCAAGTGATGGGAGGTAATAGGGCATCATATTCAATAAAACGAAAAACCCTGAGGAACCAAATCTAAACTGTAGTATACAGCAGTAAACTGAAAGAACTAAACCTCCATGCATCATTATAGATTTTTTAAAGAATTGAGGCAAACAAACAAAACTCCAAGTTGCAGAAGGATAATTACAGTTTGATGACCACTTATATACAATTTAATAATTAAAAATTAATTATTGCAAATATTATTAAAATCTCCTGGTTAACCACCCCTGCAAATTCTCTTTCCTCATATATGAGGTTTTGTGTTTGCCATATCTGTGCATGTCACTTACAAGCTATGAATGCATATCAATTAGTAATGGGTGCCTGAAAATTATCTATATTCTTCTTCATGATTCAATATTTCATTAAAAAAGACACAAACTGAATCTATAGATCAAAGTAAACTACTATGTCAGGATAATGTAACAGAAAATTAACACTGAGCTACATCTGGGTAAGTTGTTAAATTTAAAAATCCAGAGATGAAAAAATGCACTTTGTAGCCTTGTTACCTAATTGTGAAGAACATGAACTGGTTAAAGCAAATAATTTAGCAATGATATTATACAAGACTAGATTCATCCACTAGAGAAGTTGAAGACTGGTATGTTTGTTTCACCTGCTCAGTTGTTGTTTTTATTTCTAAAATAAAGATTTTTGATTATTTTCTAAATCTATTTTGATATCATTTCTAAACATGCTAACTTTCTACTGATTAAGGAAGCCTCCTTTTGATACGTCCAGGATTATTTTATCTGAGAAGTCATAAATTTTTTTTAATATATTTTATTGATTATGCTGTTACAGTTGTCCCATTTTCCCCCCTTCACTCCCCTCCACCCTGTACACCCTCTCCCACCCATATCCCCCCTTTAGTCATGTCCATGTGTCATACTTATAAGTTCTTTAGCTTCTACATTTCCCATACTATTCTTACCCTCCATGTATCTATTTTCTACCTACCATCTACGCTACTTATTCTCTGTACCTTTTCCCCCTCTCTCCTCCTCCCACTCCCCTGTTGCTAACCCTCTGTGTGATCTCCATTTCTGTGGTTCTGTTCCTGTTCTCGTTGTTTGCTTAGTTTCTTTTGGTTTTGCTTTAGGTGTGGTTGTTAATACTTGTGAGTTTGCTGTCCTTTTACTATACATGTTTTTTCTTTATCTTCTTTTCTTAGACAAGTCCCTTTAACATTTCATAAAATACGGGCTTGGTGATGATCAACTCCTTTAACTTGACCTTATCTGAGAAGCATTTTATCTGCCCTTCCATTCTAAATGAATGCTTTGCTGGATAGAGTAATCTGGGATGTAGGTCCTTGCCTTTCATGACTTGGAATACTTCTTTCCAGCCCCTTCTTGCCTGGAAGGTCTCTTTTGAGAAATCAAATTTCTTTTGAGAAATTTGAGTTCCCAGTCTGATGGGAACTCCTTTGTAGGTTACTGTACCCTTATCTCTTGCTGCTTCTAAGATTCTCTCTTTCATTTTTACCTTGGCTAATGTAATGATGATGTGCCTTGGTGTGTTTCTTCTTGGCTCCAACTTCCTTGGGGCTCTCTGAGCTTCCTGGATTTCCTGGAAGTCTATTTCCTTTGCCAGAATGGGGAAGTTCTCCTTTATTATTTGTTCAAATATGTGTTCAATCTGTTGCTTTTCCTCTTCCCTTTCTGGTACCCCTATAATTCGGATGTTGGAATGTTTAAAGTTGTCCTGGAGGTCCTAAGCTTCTCCTTGTTTTTTTGAATTGTTATTTCTCCATTCTTTCCTGTTTGGTTTTTTTTCTTCCTTCTGGTCCACTCTATTGTTTTGAGTCCCAGTTTCCTTCCCATCACTACTGGTTCTCTGTGCATCTTCCTTCATCTTTTTTATGGTAACCTGCATTTTTTTTCATGTAACTTGCGCCCAAAATCAACCAATTCTGTGAGCTTCCTG